ACAATAAACCGTACAATGCAAAAGGTGGAGCAGTAGCTCTTCAGAGAACTACAAAACATTGAATTACAGGATGAGGAAAGCCATGTATCATGCATTACTCAACACACTTTGCCTTTCCGAAGTGACTCTTTTCATCCCACCAAGATTTACCACAGGATAAGGTGCAAGGTGCAGCACCGTTATTCATTTTACTTCCTCATCCCACAAGGAACGGAATTCAATACCCAAAAGCATGGGTGTCTCTCTGGTTCATTATAGTAGTCCTCAGGGTTCTCCCCTCCTCAGGTGGCTGGATCAATGCAACCTTCTGCTCACTTTCTCTTCCAAGACTCCAAGTGGACATCCGGGCTAGGTCTAAATTCTTTAGGTAGAGATCAAGCCTCAGGACCCCGTGGGTCTCCGGGGTATTTTATGTGCCTTTCTCCCAGACTGATTCCTCATAAAAACATTACGCAGAAGAATTATATTGCATCAGGTCAAAGGTCCATTTAGTCCAGTATCCCGCCGCTGACAGGAGCCAGCAGCAGATACCAAGGGAAACAACTTTAAGAAGGGATAACCATGCAGGCATTTTCTCCACTCTCTCCTCCCCGCATCCAGCAGCCTGCCACGCAGGCAGTTCCTCAGGCAGGAATGTCATCTTGCTGCCTAATAGCCCCTGATGGATTTTTTTTTCCCATTAATTCATCTGATCGGTTTTGAGCCCGTCTAACCTCTTGACACCCAGCAGATACTGTGAGACTGGTTCCGGTTTAATCACACACCACAAGGACCGAGTTGTTTGCTGTTGTTTGCTTACACTAGCCCGTAATTCCACCTGACGTCCCTTGTTCTTGTTCTGGGAGAAACGCAAATAATCATTTGCTACTTATTTTCTCCATGCCACTCATGATTTTAAACACCACTATCACATGCCCTTCTACCTTCTCTTTTCCCATCTAAAGAGTCTATTTAATCAATCTCAATTCAGAAGCCGTTCTCTATTCCTGAAAACACTTGTCAGGTTTCTCTGTCCCTTTCGGGCTCTGCTATACCTTTTCTTAGACAGGGAGACCAGAACGGCATGCAGTAATCAAGAGGTGAATGCACAGCAAAATGGTTATTTTGTTTTCTGTGTCTTCCCTAGCAATTTCTGACAATCTATTTCCTTTTTTGAGCATTGCTCTGCCCTCAGCCAACATTTCTTAGAACTACTGACAGCCACTCTGAGCTCTCTTCCCTGAGTGGTAAGAGGTAGTTTAAAGCCCATCTTCAGCATCGTACAGTCGGGTTTATTTTTTCCCATGTGCATTATTTTGTGTTTATTGGCACCGAATGCGGGTGCCATTTTGCTGCAATGCCACTAGGTATCGTGAGATTCTTCCATGTTTTTAAGAGTAGATTTTTTTTTCCTATCCTGAATAACTCAGTTAAAGAAACATCCAGCACGTCACTATTTAGCACATTTTCCAGACCACTTATGAATACGCCAGACATCACAGATATTAGTGCAGATCCCTGTGGCATTCCGCTTGTTATCTCCCACTGACATACCTGACCATCTATTCCTACCCCTCACATCAGTTCCAGAGGGGATCTTTCCTTTCATCCTGCTACAGTTTGGCTTCTCTATGAACTTCCGACTGAGGAGCTTATCAAAAGCTTTTGGAAAATCTGAGTACACTGTACCAACCAAATCACCCTAATCCACACACATGTCAGTGCTTCAGACGAACAGCAGCGGATTTCTCTCAGACACGATTTCTCTCGACAAAAGCCACATTGACATCTTTCCAAAGCCCTTTTTAAAGATTGGTGTCAAATTGCCATTTTCCCTTTCTGTGGTCCTTTAGTACAGTGGATCTGGGGGGAAGGGGGGTGTGGGTGCTCCTGCTCCGCTACTGAAAGTTGGCCGAATCAGAGTACGCTGCGGTTGCAATGACCAAAAGTCCCTCCAGCCCTAACCGTGCAAACGAGGCCCCGCTTGCTCTTCTGAATGACGCCGAGCACCGTTTCGTCTCCTGGGGATTCCCTGTTTAGTGGCTTCAACGAGCAGTCACTCATGCTGCTTACAACAGCAGTCTCCCTCCCCATCACGACGCTTTCCCCACTAACACTCCTATTTTTTTTTTTTCTTCAGCTGCTCGGTTCCATGGATTGCTTCCACTCCTTTAATGCCCTAAACGCCCCCTGCAGAATGACCTTCCCCTCAGCAGCCAGACCTCTCCTGCAGCCAGGCTGCACTTCCCTTGTGAACTCAGGCCCTTCTGGAGCTCACCCGGAGGGCCGGGGATCTGCTTTCGTAGGGGTGAGGCCCCTGCTTTTCTCCCCCGCGTTCAGCCACCCCTGATGAACATTACACGATAGAGCTGTCTTTTAAGAAGGGTTAACAAAAGCCCAATTTACAATTCATATGGGTTGCCCAGTGATGAAAATTTTGAACCCACACAACCATACTGGCCCTTCCCTTTACGATTCTCGGTTAATCGTCTTAGTGTTATGGCTACTCATCTAAAGCCTGAGACATTAATTAAATTAATGCCGGTGACAGAATTCCTCTAATAACATCCAGCGATTTGTCAACAGAGCTGGTAGTTATTCCAAATTGTTGTGGTTATTCCAAATAAAATTTAACTATGCAAACATACTTGGTTCTTTCTCATTTTACTTATTTTTATGTTAACGAGCTTATATCTTATTCTTACCCCTTTCCAGATGTTTCATTCAATGCCTTGAAAAATATAAATGTGCAAGTTTCAGTGGCAACTTAGCTTTTCAGAACACGTCACAAGTTCTTAAAGCTTTATACATACCATCAGTAAAAAATCCACCAGGATCTTAGGCACTGCTTTGCATGTATGAGGTGCTATCTGTAAAAGAATTCAATCAGAAAATTCATTACAAAATGTAAGAAATGGTCCAGAACCTCCAGTCTAGTGTATGCAGAAGTTTATGAAGTGGTGTAAAAGGAAAATTGTTTCCAGAAGGCATCAGGCAGATAAGATAGCAAAGATAAAGACTTCCAGACAAGAAATCGGAAAACAGACCACACAGTGACGTCCAAAAATATGCCATTATAATTCAAGATACCAATGCTCTAGTTAACAGGTAGATCTGTATCCACTCATGTGAAGCAAGACTGGGGATTAAAAATGTTCCTGTCTCTGAAAACAGATATTATGAAGTGTGTTAATATTAATGGAGTATTCTCCACTGAAGAGGTAAAACCTTCCAATGGAAGAAAAATAATTAAATCTCACTGACACATATATGTGTCTGTGTGTGTACATAAAGACAGGCACATGAGCTCATGGAGCATTGTGAAAACACATGCTTTGAGCTTCACGGTATTTTGAAAATTGAAAGGTGAACCAGGTAAGGCGGCACTACTTTCCTGCTGTGAAAGACCCTCAAACATTTCATTTCAGATGAAACGTCTTTTGGACAGGACAATTTATGTCACTGGGGCTACAGTAAGTACCACTAGGCAGTAACTGGTATCATTTACTGCAAAATTTAGTGTACAAAAAATCTCCCTCCACAGCACTCCAGAAGCCAGGAGAACACATGTATAATGAATATTTCAGTACTTAGCACTCATAAAGAAAGGAAAATCCAGCAGCGTTAGATCCCAAACCCAACCACATTAGGACAGTCACTGCACAGAAGCAGAGTTTGAATGAACAGTTTCCAACTAATTAAAACCTAACAACCATAGCAATGTTTCCAGCTCTCCATGCTTCACTGTTTCATTTTTTCCACTGACGTTCATTTAATATAATATTCAGCTTCCTCAAGTCTTTATTCCACGCTAATTCCCTCGGGCATCTAAGTCAACCTTTCAGAGATGACATTCCTCCAAACCCAGGCCTGGCCAAGCTGTTTTGAGGTATTTAACCAGGGCAGCGGGGTCCATTGGGCAGAGAGGAAGCAGGCTAACGCCAGACTCCTCCAGGTGATGCCTGTAATCCCCTTTTCTCCAACTGGCCTCTGAAAACGGCCCTGACCCTGCTCCATCTCCCAGCAGCAGTTGCCTGCTGGGGAAGGGAGGGTGGAGAGAGCTGCTGGCCTCTCCCTCAGCCAGCCCACGGCAAGACAAGCTTGCAGGCACAGCAGAGGCTAAGCGGCTGCACGGACCCCCGTGCACTCTGCCCTTACAGCCGCCTTGCATAAGAGCCAAGACCAAATCTGACCCATGACAAAAGGAGGAGACTCCTCCAGGCTCTTCTCCCTTCAGCTGCCCAAAGGCTGAGCACAGTTCTTCAGGAGCATCACAATATTTGCTTATTTTCCCAAAGTCCCTCCTTCAAAAGTCTCACAATTGCATGAAAATTCATCTTTCATTTAAAACAAACAACAGTTTTGGGCCTCCAGGGAAGCCCAGACGTGTGAACCCTACATGCACACAAGGAACCAGACAGGTCCAAAGATCTCTAAGTCTATTACCATTACTGCTTCCCATCTCCCAACCTTTTAGCATCTGGATTTGGCAACACTGCACAAAAGCTCAAGGCATGGGGCTCACCATTTCCTTTCTTCCAGGCTTGGGGCTGTTATGTGCCACCGGGGGTGAGGAAAGGGGGCAGTTTCGGTCCAGTGACTTCCCCCGCTGGTCTGCCGAGAAGCGGATCACTGCTGCCCAGCAAAGCTCGCACTCTTCAGCTGTGGGAGCACCGCTGTCACCGACAGCAGGCTTTGCATCAGAGACATTCAGGCTACAAGCAAAATCTTTACAGCTTCCGAAAAACAGCCAGCCCCTGTAGCTACAGACAGGGCAGACTCACGTTTTCTTTGAGTGGGTGCAGAAGGATTTAGCACATTTACTGACCGGGCTACATGTTCTGTCATCTGGAGCCTTCTGCTTGCTCTTTATTTGTAATTTTTTCAAAAAAAAACCCCTTGGTGAGGAAGGACATACCCTGGGTTGCTGGTGATAGTCTTGTCCCTCCCTCATGCAATAACAACCCCGCAGCGGCTCTCCTGCCGTTATCAGAAGCGCCCAGGAGCACCGAGATGGGAGCATGGATGTGCTGAAGCATGAAGCGGCGTGGGATTATAATGAGCTACCGACCCTTAACAAACAATTTGGTAAGTATAAACAGCGGTTGCCTACAGTGACCTATTCCAACATGCCCAGGCGCCAGGCGCAGCGAGCGGGCGATGTGCAAGGCGTACTGCCTGGGGAAAAACACTGCACAAAGCCCATGGCACAGCCAAGCGTGGTCAGTATTGATGCCAACTTGCCACAGCTGTTTCTGGCTGTATCCATGGTTTTCCAGTAAGTAAACTGACCTTATGGGTAATAAAAATGAAATCACCGAAAAGATGATGTCAGGCATTTTTAATGAGGTGTTTTTAAAATGAATTATTCCTTGCTAAACAGTAAGAGGCTCCAGCCTGTTGGTAACGCGGCTGCAGACTCACCAGGACAAAAAGCATCATGTCAGCAGCCCTCTGCGAAATGGCAGCAAATCTTGCAAATGACCTTGAAGACTGTTTTCCTACAGGATGATCAGGAGATACGGAACCCGACTTTTCCTTTTTTTTTTAAGCGCTGCTTGTTTCATTTCCATTAAAAATACCATCTGGCAGAAATCTTATCTCAGAAATCAACACCCAGGTCTAAGAGAGGAACTCTGCCCCACAAACTATTCTGTGTTATCAGCTTTCTTAACTGGGAACTTCAGCTCACTCAGCCAACTTTTCATAACAACTATTTCAAAGCGTGGGCCTGAGGAATAATTCCGTGTAACAGCTAGCTGTGCACCAGGTCGACACATTATTTTATTTATCTCGGCAATACTTACCGTCTTCAATATCTTGGAAAGTTTTATAATCTTTTTAAAAATTGGGGCAATTATTTAGCAGCGCCTCTCACCCAGTGAACGGCAGAGACGACACAAATTTTGACAGGATGGCTGCAGCTCCAGAGCGGCTCAGACCTACCCGTCCCCACGCCCAGGGACAGGCTCTGCTGCCTCGAACCGCACAGGGAGGAGCCCTCAACAAGACCAGAAGCTGTGCACGGGCTCAGCAGTACGATGCATTTTATTTTCAGATTGCCCGATGGCACGAATCAACCCACAGTCTTTTTTGCCTCTTTAGACTCCATACTGAAGAAAACTGTTACAGCATTTTGGTTTTTACTCCTTTATTGTAATTTAAGTGCGTAAGTTGCATACCATGCTTTATTTTAGGCCTCGAGAGCAGCAGATACAAGAAAATCAGCTGCACACAACTGTAGCAAGTATTAGTATCTTCTAAACATTTTCCTCCATTATTTGATTCTGTAATGGTGAATGAGATTGTAAGGCATAAACATATACATGCTTTGCACGTAGGTAATATACTTTGTGTAGTATCTTGAACACATATAGTATCTTGAAATCCCTATGCTTTCACTTAGGAGTTTGTAAACTTGCGAGCTTTTCTAAACTTGTAAGAATAATGCCTTTCTGAAGAAAAAGTAAGCAAGAGTAATAAATAAAACTCCTAGCTGGAAACTATAGGCTTTTTTTCCTTTAATTATGGGAAAATAACAGCACTCGATTTCAAGTTTAGATGTGGTAGATCAAATATTGTCTCTTGCACAGGGGCATGGCTTCCCAAGGCCCCTTGGAAAGTTGACGACCCAAAGCAGAGAAGGAGCTTTGACACAAGCAGGGGTTATGTTAGTATTGACCTAAATCAATGCACAGTTCACTACCAACACAAAATAAATGCTAAATTAGATTGTGGAGAAAATATGAGGTAACTGAAAGAGATTCAAGACATATACCTATGGTCTGGGAAACACAAATATTATATCTATTTCACTTCCAATGACTAAGAAATTTTGCTTTGCAAGGAAACCTCTAGGTCCCTGCATTAGACCAAGCGGACAAGCTGAAGTAGTTGAATCTCTGAAATGTATGCAAAACTGAGTTGGAACGAATGTGAATGTTACCATAAAAAATGGTAGAGTCTTCATTTATTTACAGCAATTCTAAATGGAGCACAGAGATTTCTGAAGCAGCAAAGAAGAACGAGGGCCTGTGCACCCCACTCAGCTTAGTTCAAGCAGAGATGATAGTTTTCTGGACTGCTGTTTAAACTCCCAGAAAAATGTGTGTAGCTAGCAAAAAGGAAGCAGAAACAAAAATCCAATATTGATTTCAGTAGTCCATAGTGACCAGGTCAAAACTTATCTTCTGTTACAAATTTCCACCTCTTTCACCATGAGTTTTATGGGGGTTTTTTTCTTATTTTGTCCTCCTTTTTAAGGGACTTAAAAGGAGACATCTTCCCTCTCAGAGGCATAATCAAGAAAACTTCCTACTGAAAAATTATACAAGGTTGATTACATTTATTGTTGCAACAAGTTCACAGGAACTGCAGTTGTTTATAAGTATTGAATAAAGATTTCATCTTGCATTTCCTACACCCGTGGACTTTGCATTTTAGAAAAAAAAAAAATCTAAAAAAGCTCTTCTGATTCCAGATCCTCAGATTTTAGGAAATTTCAGGCACTTGGAGAATACACGACTTAAATTTTTTTAATCGGTATAACAGCGTCTTACTGCCACCTAGTGAGCAATGTAAAAGCGACTAACACATTAAGGCACATGACTATTTCTGGTCAAAAGGCATTTTTCTCTTTCACAAGTCCAAACAGAAGAGAAAGGCAAATTTAGATATGGAACAGTGCTAGGAAATAGATAATACAAAAAGCTGCTTTTCAAGAGAAGACAGGAGAGGAGCAGGCAGGCAGGCATAAGGAGAAGAGCTGGGAATTTTTTAAGACCGCATTATCCCAGTATCATAGGAATGCAGCCTCCTCTCCTCCACAGATCTTGACGTGATCACCCATGCTTCGGGCAGTAGTGTCTACTTTTTCGACGACAGCTTAACATTTCATTTTCCTCCACTTAGCCCAAAGGCAAGGCAGCTAGCACACCCATAAGCTTAAGCAAGGCTTTAGTGACTACCCACAGAAGAGGCATACCCAGGCGTCGTCAACAACCATCAGCGACATCTGTCTCTTTTCTGGTCTGAGAGGGTATGAATTTGGGTTGCTGCAGGGTCTCTTTCCACCCACGAGGCTGCGGTGGCAGGCACCTGCGAGGGCGGGAGGCAGCTTTGCTTTTTGTCTGAGCTGAGGTGACCAATTTTCCGCCTTTTCCCAAAGGCTGACTGAGCTAGAGGCTTAGGCCAGAGTGCGCTAGCCTCAGTTCAGACCCGAGAAGGCAGAACCAAGGGCGGGACCCCGGGGGCAGGAGCCTGCGAACCCCTGCGAATGGCACTGGCGGAGACCACGACACTTGACACAGTGGGGTTATTGCTCTGTGGGCAAGGGCCTCTCTTGGTCAGCAACGCCAGAGGAAGCTAGCTAGGTTATTTTGGCTAGCAAGCTCCTAGCTGCGACGGTCTCAGGGCACGTCGGCAGCACGCTGCCAAGGGCAGGTCCAGACGTCCAGAGTTGGTTTTCAGGTGCAGTACTTCAACTATCCTTCATAGTCCACTGACTTGGACTAGAATACGTCTAACAGGTGTTGTTCAGCGTTGGCTTTCTCTGTCCTCACTCGTCAGTGCAACCGTCCAAAAATTGTGCTAATGCAAGGAGACATTTTAGGCACTTTCTTTGAAAGTCTTCTTGTCAATGGAAGAAAAAATGGGATAGAGCATAAACACACTTGTAACCCACCCCCTAGGTGCCAGCAAAAGGAAAACTGACAGGGCCCCGCAAGGACTACATTATTTATTAGGTCAAGAAGGCGGTTTCACAATATTTGTTTATATTCACAATCCTGTAGATTCTGTCAGCACTTACACAGGCAGAAGACAGCTTGGAACGGGTGGTGCTTTAGGAACCGTACTTCCCCATCGCCCAGTGACTAGTAGTATTGATCGCCCTTTTTTGCCATGCTCAGTCAAACATGTTAATAACGTGCTCGGTCCTGTTCCTACCACACAGGCCCCACAGGGTTTCTGGCACTTCTGCTTCCACAAGAAGCAGAGCCGGCTGGAGGAGAAAGGGAAAGAAACGAAGCAGAACTTTTCTATGGCAGGTGTGTTTGCAGAGGAAAAACGTAAATTCATCTCCAAACACTAGCATATTCCCCAAAGGTAGGTTACAGGAATAAATACCCCTATTATACTCTACACTACCGAGTGGCAGATTTTAAGAAGTTTCTGTTTATATTTAACCAACCATACTGCTTCAGCTATATTAGCAGCAGTTAGAAGTCAGGATGAAGTTCCCATTGAAGCAAATGGCACCACCCAGCACTTCTCAGCCTGATACACTTTTTCTTCAAGGACCCTTTGCAGTCAGCGCACACACAGCTGATCCCACCGGTCTAGCCTTACCAAGAGCCAAAAAGGAGAAGACTTCTCTAATTGGTAATCTTAAATATGGTCATTCTGATCCAATACCACTTACAAAACAGATGCTTTCTACCCTCCTTCCTCCAGCAAAGTTTTCTACACTATAGATTTTCTGTCATGCATGACAAGCAATGCAATATATTTGTTAAAATGTCCCCGTAAGCCATGAGGAGGATAAACCCAACTGCTAGTTTCACCAGCGTGATATTCAACATCTGCTCCATCTGTTCCAGGAAATGGTGACAGGCATCTTGCTACAATATACTATGCTAATTTTTCTGAGATATTTTTATATTAGGTCATTTAAATGATAGTGAGGTATTTTATTACTACAAGCGAGAACAGACAGAACCTCCATAACCATTTCTAAACGGCTTTAGTAGCCTAAATCACTCCCTGCTTCCGTAACTTTAGTGCCACCGTGGCAACGGCACCCTGCCACAATCAAGCCCTTTGCCAAAACTGAACCATCCTTGTGGGCCTTAATGCAGGAACACAGCCCGTAATGCAGTGGAGGAAAGGAAGGATTTAAGAGTTTTCCCTTTGCACGTCGTAAATCCTACCAGCTTCAGAAGAGCTGTACAACTGGATGAATGTAGCACAGTGTTTCTCTTATTACATATTAACAGCATAACTTAATTTCATCAATTTAAACACAAAAATCAGTATTCGGTTCAAGTATTTCATCACCGGATGAAGAAAGAAGGCTGCCCGTGTTATCC